TGATTATTGAGCCTAAGACTTTAGATACTATATTAGTCAAGCTAATCCCTCTGTGATTATCACAGGAAGACTTGTCTCCCTTCTTGTATATGGGGATAATCAGTGACTTACACCAACCCGATGGGACTTCTTCTGATTCCCAGACGCTGCCTAGTACCTCAGTTAATCCGGACAGTAAGCTGTCTCCACCGTACTTAAATACCTCTGGAGTCATTCCATCAGGTCCCGCTGCTTTGCCTAGTTTCAGATTGGTGACAGCTTTAGTAACCTCAGTTAGGGACGGAGGACCTGTCTATCTCCCATTCAGGGAGGTGTTGGATGCTCGGAAGGTTGAGCGTGGCTGTGGGCAAATTAAACTGCTCCTCATAATGCTCTTTCCAACGATCCAGTCGTCTATCCTGGGAGCTAATTATAGTGCCATTTTTTTCCGAGATTGTCTCACTAATGATTTGTCTTCTCCCACCCGTTTCCCTGATGAGTCCAAAGAGTTGCCTGGTGTTGCCTATCCTCGAAGCTTTCTCCATCTCTTTGGCTTTTGTCGCCCACCACTGTTCACGGTCCTTGCGGAGACTTTTCGTAAGTTTCCTCTTGTGCAGCTTTCGCTCCTCATTGAATTCGGAGCTCGCCGGAATAAGTCTTCTAGCATCTATCAGTTCGGATGAGGCGGTGGAGATCCAGTGGTTTTTACTCACCTTTGGGTTTACCTTATTCACAGCTTTTACAGCTGTATCTATGGCTGCCTGGATATTTTTCCAAGCTTCTTCAGGGTGAGCACAGCTGTCGAACACAGATATGTGTTTAGCTAGTTCTTCCTCAAATACGGATTTAGTTTCCTGATCGAGCTGGGGACGTGATGGTTTTACCGCCAGCTGTTTCCTACGTCCGTTCAGTCGTAAGCACACCCGAGCGCGGACCAGTGCATGGTCGGTATCTACGCACGTGTTCCAGAAGGAGCGACAATCTCCTACCGACCCACGCCAACGATAGCTTATTGCTATGTGGTCTATTTGTGTCCAGCGTTGGTTTGATGAAGGGGGTCTCCAAGTCAAACAGTGTCTCTCCTTGTGTTTAAAGTTAGTGCTTACAAGAAACAAATGATTATCAGAGCAGAACTGTAGGAGACGGTCACCGTTGTCGGTTCGCTGGCACGGAACTCCATAGGTGCCACCGACATCCTTCTCAGATTGACACAATTTCCCTACTTGAGCGTTAAAGTCACCAGCTAGAACGACTATGTCTGAGCGTTTAGCCTTTCGCACCAAACTAGACAGCTTTTGGTAGAACTCATCCTTCGTTTCATCTGAACTGCAGTCAGTGGGGGCGTAGGCGGAGATTACGAAAAGGCATCGGCGAGTAGTGCAGTCCTTCCTCCTTCTTACTGATCCGTTCAGGCGGACAGCACACATTCGGCTATCTACCGGGATCCAGTCAAGCAATGTCTTTTCTGCCCTAGTACTCAAAGCTATCCCTACGCCAGCTAATCCTCGTGAACTAGCTGTGGCATCTCCTGACACCCTCAAGGTGAATTTTGCAGATTCAACCTGTTGGCCAGGTGGGGTTAGGTTGGGTTTTGTATGCGTGTTTCTGAAACACAGCATACATCAATGGCTCGTGATGCCAGGGTCTTGGCTAGTGATGCTTGTTGTCCTATTTGGCAAAGTGTCCTAACATTAAGAGCTCCTATATGAAATTGGTGGCGCGGCTTTAAGAGGCTGTCGGTGGTGGTTTTTTGGCTTCCATCGTTTTTAGTGGACGCAGAGTGGAGAGGAAGTGGAGAGCTATCAAGTCGAGGAGTTGCATCAGTGGAAGGAAGGCAAGATGATAGAGATGAAGATGAAGACAAAGATGAGTGAGTAATAGAGAGGTTTCGTGTGCATTTCGGATTGTGAGGGCGATTGTTACTTCCCGGCTGCCCACACCGTGGAAGTTGGTTGCGTGACCGCAGAGCCCAGGGGACAACTGCTTGAGGCCGGTCACACGCGGCCTGTTTTTGTTCGTTCTCTTTTGTTTGGTGTCTCAGTAGCATATTTATCACTCCTGCCCTGTGACACGGCAGCAGGAAGCGCGGTCGTTGTTAATCCGGGCCACGGCCGATCCGGCATGAAATTTTGTGATTTTGTATTGGACATGATGTTGGATTGGGTAGCTGCTTTTTGTTTAACCGCTATCCAAACAACCTGCCTGGCATGGTAGGACCTCAAGAGACATAAGTCTCAGCCAGTATAGCTTGATTAGGTCATTGCGGTGTTCAAGCCCGACCACCACGTCAAGGTAGCAGCTTTCTGCCGTTGCAATAATAGCTCCATATTCCGAGGAACTTGTTTGTATACAGTACTGAGGATTATCAGCTTGTTTTAATCTACTCCTTATAGGGACACTGCTTCAATCTATTAAATTGCTCTCGTGGGTATTTAAAATAGTATAGAATATGTTGGTTCGCTAGTTTCCACTATTAAACTTGAGTAGAACCATAATTGTGGAGATGGCAACGTATTGTAATACATGAGCAGAGTGTTCTCGAGTTTACATCCTTGGATCTCAAAATGTACCCCTGAAAATTCTTTATAATTAGCTGTCAACCAAATGTTGTGCATCTTTTTATTACAGCTTGATTCCACACTGTATTTTTGGTACAAGTATGGAATTTTGAGCATGGATATCGGTAGCCGAAATTATGCAGGCCGATCATAGATATCAGGTGTGCGTCGGTAGGAGATCGAACCCCGGACCATATGCATGGTCAGCGAGAGTCCTAACCACTGTGCCACCGACGCGAAGGAAGCAAAAAAGAAATATCGTAATGGACTGGTTCGTTCTCCAAACCAGACAACATTGTTATGGGATCTACTGTCAATCAATATTTTATTTGAAAATCCTGGACGAAGCGAAAATATCACGCAATAAACTTCGCTGGAAATTTCACACATTCTATGAACTCTTTCCAGAATAAAGCTCTTATTACTATTATATCATTAACCAAGTAGATTAAAGTTCTTCACATACCTTTAAAACAGAAGAATGCCTTATGAATGTCGATAAGGTTTCGTATAGATTAACGTTAATTACCTGGTTACTTTCTCTATACTAGATCCAGTACCTATTCTTTTCAGAATATCAAGTTAAATCTGTCACATAAAGCACCTTACTGTGTAGTCTTAAAATTCGAGTAAAAGAAACGTGAATCAAATCCTTTCTGAGATGACAATTCTTATACAGAATTACACCAAAAAATTGCATTGATCTAAATATTTCACACTGGCGTGACGCAGTCTGTCGAGGAGCTATGAATGGCAGAACACTCTGCTCATCACATAATTTGATGATGTGAAGTACCAATTAAAACTGTAATACTGTACTCAACAACTATCAAATTTCAGCTGGTGATGAACCACACCTGTGATATACCACCTGGCTGTTTGGACCTAGGTTAGATGGAATGGGACTTGAAGCCTCACCCACTACTGGTTGAAACTTGTACGACACAACTCCACACTTTTAACATTTAGATTCAAAGCATGATGCCGACCAACTTCTAACATTTAAAATAATATCCGATATATATATATTTTAATTCACTATTGATTTTTTCATTGACTAATGGGACGGATGTATTCGGCCTCTGTTGATATGTCAGCCTCTTGTGTTGATGCTTCGACGACGTCTGAGGAATAACTCTGCCCCATCTAGGACTCGTCAACCGGCTGCACACATGCATACCCATTGAGTGATGTTCTCATTGAAAATCGAACCCAGTACACACTGTTTCAAACATCACAACAATATCTACTAGACCAATTAAGCCTCTAGTACTACGTCTTGTGGATAACGCTTTGGCATTTGAAACTATAACTACTGAATTCGAACCCTAATGGGAACACTACCGCTAACTGGAGAATGCACGTACATCCACTAGCTAACGAGGAGTCTCAAAAACAGGACGAAATGTGCGTTGTAGATTCCACCACTACCGGTCATTATCCACCAAATTATACTACGAAATGTCTATTACAGCAGTCCCATTAAATTACTCAATCCTTTCAAGCTCGCAAATACGCCCTCCTCACAAGTGCTGAATAAGCGAGGATATCTAGGCCAACGAATAGCTTCCGACCAACCATCTAGCATTCTCTATTATCATATCTATTGGATATGCTATCTTTACCCCTTAGCCCCCAAGAAACCACTGCCACAATGTACACATCACCAACAAGATTGATCCGACAGGGATGTCCACTTTCCCCATTCCTGTTTAACTTCATCATACATATCCTAATGGAAGTATCCTCAACTGAACTTAACGACTTACGAATCGACTTGCTACCAGGGAATAGTCTTATGGACTTAAAATACGAAGATGACATAGTCCTGTAAGGGAGGATTCTGACAAAATTCAGAGTCTTCTGAACACCTTGAGCAACAATCTGCGTATGTTTGCCACGCGATTCGCCCCCATGAAATGTAAGATGTTGCTACAGGACTGGACCACGTCAACTCCTAGCTTAGTGATACGGAGTGAAGTGATAGAACATGTTGACCACTTCACCTATTTGGGAAGTTGTATCAGCACCAACGGACTGGTTGGCGACGAAATCTCAACACGGATCTAAAAGACTCGAGCTGATTTCGCCAACTCACACCATATCTGGCGTAGGCGTGACATCCGGTTGGCTATCAACCAAGGCACGTGTGTACTTCTCAGCAGTTCGCTCCGTCCTTCTCTATGGCTCTGAAACATGGCCAATACGAGTTGAAGACATGAAAAGGTTGACTGCTTTCGATCATAGATGTCTGCGATCTCTGTCTCACGTTAGGTGGTTTATTAAGGTAAGTAATGTTGACGTTAGGCGTAGAGTGTTGGGCAAAGAGGGAAAATCAATCAACGAGGCTATAAAGTTACATAGATGGCATAGAGATGGCTAGGTCGCGTGCTGCATATACCTGTCTAACCATCAACTCCCCCGACGGGCATTACTAGCTGATAAAGGTGCAGGTTGGAAAAGAGCCAGTGGTGGCCAAACAAAAACATGGCCTCATCAATCCATGAAATCCTTGACAGTTAAACTGAGTCGGTCAGGTAGGGAGATGCAGACTTCCGGGTTGGGGCCCTCGGGACTCTAGGAATCATTGGCTGGAGACGATAGGTGACATAGCTCAAAATCGTTGTCAATAGCCAGCGCAGATGTATTCAGTCTCTGTAATCTTTCATATTCCTTTCTACCATCACCCATTCTGTTTCACTCTTATACTTGTCAAACTCTATTGATTCTCTTCACTCACCTCCTTGCCTACCTCTGTGCTATTTGGAACGTGGCAACTGGAACTGGTGCACTTCGGTGACAAGTTCTATGTTGAATCCAGAGTGACAGACAGACAGGATTGATTATTTAGAATACAAAATTAGCCAGCTAACTGTTGGATAACAATAAGAAGAAGAAGAATTGTATTCATCGCATCAAATAAATCTGTACATTAAAAAATAAGGATGAATTGGTTTTTCAGTGCTTGTGTAATAATAATAAATATGTGCAGAATTGAAGGACGCAAACGGCATGAACACACGTATGTGTATGTGTATGTAGGTGTACACCTACATATTTTCTTATATATTACTTATATTAGTAGTAGTAGAAGTAGTAACAATAATAATTGTAATAATAAAAAATAATACACAAACATAAATATATAAGAATAAAGAAAAATATTAATCGCCAAGTATAATAAAGCTGTACACAAAAGATTTTTAAAAATAAAAAAATTATAAGTAAATGAAAATAACAGAGGTTGGTGATGATGATGTTGGTGATTAGATTGTTCACTGGACTGATCTTGGAGACTTTCACTCGATCTGACCACAGTAACGCCTTTTAATTAAGAAACACGACACAACTTCAACACCAAACCAGTTCCTATTCACACAGAAACACAAACACGCCTTAGAGTGAGTGAGTGAGTGAGTGATGGAGTGTCTATAAGGAATAGATGAAGTGAAAATCTGTCGACTGAATGAAAGATTTGACTGATGAATAATAATAATAATAATAACAGAGATAATCCATCAGAGAGAGAAAGGCAAACAGACAGTCAGTCAGGCAGCCGGTATCCTCAACAACAAAAAAATAAACGAGCAACAAGAAGAAAACGATGAATGAACAGTGCATGTGTACAGAACATTTTCTATCTTCTCTCTCTCTCTCTCTTAGATAGATGATGAACTGTTTTGTCTGTTGTTGACCTGAGGAAATAAACTACACACAAGGACGAGGAGGAGGAGGGTAGGTGCGCGCGCGCGCGTATAAAGCCAAAAACATTTACACACACACACACACACACACTCAAGACAAAAATATTAGTAGTAATAATAATAGGCGTGCAAAGTCAACAATACACATAATAATAATCCTATAGAGATTTGGTTATGTACAATCGGTGAAATCGTTTTTGTTCAACCCGAAATAATTTTTGAACAAACAAACAAAACAAATACACAATAGTAATACTAATACTAATAATAATAACGAAATGACTATCCATAGTAATGATGATAATAATAATAATATTCTGAGATAGAGATTACAGAATAAACACCAATAGAGACAATTACTCGTGAGCACACACAAACATACACAAGCACACCATGTGAGCCCGCCCCACCCCCGGTGTGTGTGTGTGTCCATATACAATTAAATCAAGTAGCCTAAGAAGCGATACAAAATAATATGACCAATAAAACAACAACTGTAAGTAAATGAGAAATGCAAATATGACGGGGACCAAGGGTAGGGGGGGGCCTGCAGGGGGAATGGAGTGGATTTATTAAGTACAAGAGAGAGGAGGCGACAACAATACCGTTCCCCCTGCATATATATTACAAATACAATGGAAAGAAAACAGACCGATGATTGTGTGAATGCATGTGTGAGTAAAAATAAAATAAAAAATAGATTAGAATAAAATAGTAGGTTATGACTGTTCTTCTGATTTTAATCGTTTCACTGGCGTTGAAAAACCTCTGAAAGAGAGAAAATAAAGAGAGAGAAATACACGCTGATCAGTAAAGGAAGTCAGTGTGTAGAAATATTTACTCATCACAATTATTGATCATTATACCTCAGTATTCACGCTTGCGAGCTTTGAATTTCTGGTCAAGTTAAACTTTCAACACCACTAATTACCAATCAGAGAATGACATCGAATTATCCAATGAGATTCACGAACGTAGTTCAATGTTGTATAGCGCTTGATTCATTTCTAATGCGTGACCTAACAAGGTTACGGTTGCTATTCGAGGAGGACAGGGTTTTCCAGTATTTCCTGGATTAAGGGTTGCTCCGGAAGGAGCGAACTTGTTCGTGTGGTTGTATCATGACTTTAAAAAGCTGTAGCAGATCAACTGATGGATTTGTTCATCGTTGTGCTATGTTTGAAGCGTGCTAACATTAGAGCGGATAAGCTGATACTTTTAATATTTCGCAGGAACGTTTTTCGCTAGGTCGCATCTCTTCCTAACCCAGATTTTGTATATCTGCAACTACTGAGCGTTGAAACAGCTGGTGAGAGCAGCGGCTGTCGAGACGGAGAATAGCCACGTCTCAACAGTTCAGTGGTACCGGCATTGCAGAGATATTGCTTCGAGGCAAATAGAGAAAATCACTTGTTTTGCTGGGTGGATCCCGTTACAAGGACTCATAGGAATTCCACTGAAGGGTTTTTGGGCCGCTTGAAAAACAGAATAAGGGCTATAAATGGGTCTCATTCATAGTCATTTAGATGAATGTATGTACAGGATGTAGTATGACTTCTCCATTGACAGCCCCATGCTAAACTGGGAGGTGTTTCTCTCACATGTTCGAGAAAGATACCCCTTGTAACCGTTTTATCTTTTTTTTATGCTTTTTTTTTATAAAAATACGTTTCCATTTACCACAAATGCCCCTTTAATGTGATTGATCCGTTCAAGATCGTTTGATGATTGGTTGTTAGTGGTGTCGAAAGTTTAACTTTGCCGAATTTGCATAAGCAGTAGTGGTTTCTGTTAGCCTCACGACTAATCTGCTCGTCTTGGCAGGTCTACTAAACCAACTCAAGAGGGCTTTAGGAGTGTGCACTGGCCGCGGATAGAACCTAGGACCACTGGTGTGACTAGTGAGAGTTTTCTACCACTGAACTACAGATGTATGTATCAATTGGATCCTTGTCAACGACAAATAACCTCTGGTTAGAAAGAACTACCAGGGGGATTTTTGCCTACCACATACAAGAGTGATTCAGGCTTCGACTTCCAGCGGACGCACTGGCAAACCTAGTTCGTTTAATAGTAAGTTCGGTGAAGGTGATGACGTTGAGTGCGAGGCGGCAAATTCATCTGACAAACAGGAAAACACCACAGAAACTAAAACCTCTAAGCACGGAAAGGAAGAGGAATGAAATGAACAAGAACTTCCCTTCAGCATCAACATTGCAAAAAGTGGCGTCGTAAACTGATGAAAATGCCAATAAGGTTGATGATGAAGAGTGAAGATACCATCAACAAAAACCCCAGGAGAAACCATTTTTCCTGTAATGGTTATGTCATCAAACCTAAATTACCTGGGACTGATTTCGCAAGCACCAGGTTGAATTGCACTCATTGCGTTTGATGGCTGATAGATGGATACTGCCTAGTTGCCCACCCAGGCTGAATTCAGTGGGGTGTTTCGAGCACTGGATCTGTCAGGTGATTAAGCCAATGAATCATATTTCCACTGATGTATCAATTGATAGTTGTGGGAAATAAATGCGAATAATCTACATTTTTAACCCGATTATTATTCGTAATCCTACCCACAAAATACAGTGAACATTTTAGCTAGGTGAAGTTATTAAATAATATGGTATAGTATTGAAGCCCATAGATACTAGGAGATATATTTACGTAATACACTGCGACGAATCTGACCACATATTTACTTGTTAAATCAATTTATATGAGGAACAAATGGCAGACAGGCAGACAACGAACTTCGCCTATAGCTAAGACATTTAATTAATTGATATCAAAATGTCTTTTAAGATTATTTACACTAGCAGATGTGGGTAAAGAGGAATGGATGCTCAAGAAGGCTTCGTGTGCTCTTGGAAGTGTGTGGGCAGTTGCTACTTCCCGGCTGCCCAGACAGTGGAAGTTGACTGATTTTTCAAGTACCTGAAACAGAAAGAGGGTTAGTTATTGAATTGAATTTTTGATTTTCCCGTCGATTGATTGGACCGAAGTGCTCGGTCTTAGATTGACATGTCGGCTTCTTGGATTCCACTGCTAGCCACCATCCACCAATTGTATACTAATTAAATCCCCAGACATCGTCGAAGCATCTGCACAAGAAGCCGACATGTCAACCTGAGACCGAGCACTTTGGTCCAATCAATCGACGGGAAAATCAAAAATTCAATTCAATAATTAATATGACCCGTTGCACAAGAGGTGGCTCTCGTGGTCCAAGTGGTCTAGTGGATAACGCTTTGGCGTTTGAAACTATGGGTACTGGGTTCGAGCCTCAGTAGGAACATCATCACTCACTGAGAAATGCAGGTACATCCAGCTAACGGGTCCCAAATAGGACGAAATGCGCATCCTGGATTCCACTGCTAGCCACCATCCACCAATTGTATACTAAAGAGGGTTAGTGTTGCGTGACCGCAAAGCCCAGGGGACAACGGCTTGAGACCGGCCACACAACACACGGCCTGTATGAACTGGTTTCTTGCTTTGGTTCCGTATTAGTAAACGATAACTAGAAGCGATAACTATTCATAAAAGATGTTTTCTGTAGTTGTTTAACCTATTTTACCGCTATACCACAACATTCCAGGTTAAATTTAGCTTCTATCCAACAGAATTTCTGGAGTGTTCCTTTTCAAAATATATATATTCGTGTAACTTTTCAATAAGACGTCTATCCTTTTAACTTCTAATAATTTAACAACTTACATCATTTGAGTGTTGGTCTGCAAGGACTTCATTGAGGTTACCCGATTTCATCATTAGCTGATACCGATTAGAGAACCATTGGAAAACTATCACAGAGTACTGGACAACTCTTTCGTCAGCCCAGCTAGGGAGGGAGGGAATGACTCTTCAGCACACTACGCACTCACCAGGATTTGAACCCAGGACTTTCCCGGCTACAAGGCGACCACCTCTTAAACCACTGAGCCACTGGAATCCAATGTCAAACCATGATGAAGTCCGGTAACTGGCAACATTCCCCCAACTTCGGTTACCTATAGTGTCTGTCAATTATGCCTTATCATCAAGAAATAAAAGTATGTTTCATTCAACACGTTTTGTAATTTATGTTTTTTCTCGTATTATTTCGCTGGCGGTAACTAACTAGTTGAAAAGAATTCGTGAAATAACCGAAACTTATTGTTCTCAGTTTAATAAAGAATAATGTTGTTCAATATGCCAATCATATTGTGGCTGTGTTGCTGATATATATATATATATATATATATATATATATATATATATATATATATATATATATATATATATAGGTAGAGAGAGTTGTTCACCAGCATAAAACATCAAATAGCACGGAGATCGATTTGATGTCAGAGAAAGCAAACGGTACAGCGTTGCAGAGATACATGGGTGACGTGAAGCTTAGGTGTACATGATTTCGCTATATTTTTTTAAAAATTTCTTTTATTTTCCCAGTGGAACTTAGGGTTTAAAGCTTTAGCTTTGAAGTTTTTTAGTAGCAGTGGTGTTTTTACGGGGTGGTGTAGTTGTGAGCCTCACACCCAACCTACCCTCCTTGTCCGCCTTCTAACCGGCTAATGGAGGTAAAGGTGTGCGCCAACCGGGACTCGAACCCCCGATAAGATGCATGGTCGGCCAGTGCCCTACCGCTGAACCGCCGATGTACATTTCGCTATATAGCGACACCAAATTCCAAATACGTATTCTCCTTTACCAAGTATTCCGTTTTCTGCCGTTACAATACTTACTACAATTATTACAGACATTAGGCAAATGGGTCCTGTAACTCGGTTGGTAGATAATGGGGGTCAATAATTAGAAGGCCGCTAGTTCGGACCAGAAGCAGACACTCAATTTTTGCATGCCGCCTTCAAACTTCATAACTTATTACACATATATAAAGAGACTACTAGTGTGGTGAGAGGTGGTCGTAAGAAAATATGAGCAAGGCTGATTCAGCAACCAATCACAGCAGACTTAACGTGGCAAAATATGATTCGCAGATAGAGAACTTTATTTTTCGAGGAATCCCGAAACGACCAATCAGAAGCCTGCGTTGCACATCGGTGTCGGAGGTTTTTGAGTGAGGATCCTTAGTCACCTCTAAACGATAATTTGTGAAGTCCATGTGGGCAAATCTAATCTGCATTGGAGCAGTTAAACTGCATTTACACGATATGAACGGAGACCTGGGAGTGTTTGCAGTAAGTCATGCGAAGACTTAACAATGGGTGCCAGTGGCAGTTGCCTGGCCCTTGTCTTCTGTTGTTACACTAGCGTTCCTTGTCAAATAGTTTCACAAACAACATCGTTCAGAATGTCGAATGGTTAATTCTACTTTTCAGACATCAATGGAATATGCATGGACTATTGATTGATTCACATATATAAGGCTTGTATGAATCACAGAAGGTATTGAAGTTTAAATCAAGTCGAATGTTAGGCAGGCTAGATGATGTATTTCCCCTTGTCTTCCCAGACTGTATTAACCTCCGGAAAGATATTTCATTTGTTTTGCTACGCATAAGGAAGTTAAGGCAATTTGGTATTAGTTCAGTCTACACTTTCACAAACTGTTGACTGTATTGCACTTTGTTTATTCTCTTTTTTCTAGGCTACTTCAGAAAAAGATCTTGTTGTATTGATAAAGGAATTAGAGGCTGTGGCTAGAGTCAACTTGCTGACATCCCTGTTGATAGACATTTGAACTAATGCAAGATATTGGCGAAAATCTTCTCGGATTCTGAGCATCGGTAGTAATAGAAGCAAACAGTGAAACTTTATGTGCTCGCAGGAATATATATATCGAAACCCACCTCACACCTCGGAATAAGCATCTTTTTCCCTTCTGCCCAATGTTCGCACATACTTTATAATTAGACAACACTAGGTAGTCACTAGTGTCATGCACATCTAAGTCAGTCAAATCGGTAATGTGGCCACCAGCATGCGACCCGACACCACAGTTCACTCTAATTGTTGTTATTAAATAGCTGGGGCGGGCCCTAGGTTTCCTGCTTGTTGGTTCTCTCACCAGTCAGTCAACAAGGTAGATCGATAACTTTGAAAGAGTTCATGCCCCTTCTGATATTCAAACCCATGTTTCCCCCAGTGCTCCAGTCAAAGATGTTATCGCTGGGCTATTCGCCTCGCGACTGACTGACTGACTATATTGGATATTTCGGGAACTAGTTTATAACTACTGTCACGTGTCTTTCATTCGGTACAGACTGTCTTCTATCAGTCAAGTTGGCCATGTGGCTACCACCATGCTAGTTAGATGAGCCTGCCATCAGGATACACACCGAATTTTTTTCAGATGGTTGTAGGCAAGCATAAAAACTTAAGGTTCAGGGCATTCTACCGAATACCCTCAACCATCTGATAATGTCCACATGTTGCTGTCATTATCCTCATTAATTTTTTAATTATTTACATTCATATATCGAAGTCAGTAGTATTACTGCATAAAAATTCCTGAAGTTACGTAATCATGTGGAAAGGTAAAACTAGACACTGAGAACTCCACATTGGAACAAAAATACGATTTGAAATAAACCCATTATTATCATTATTATTATTATTATCATTACTAAGACAACTTACCCTCCTTCCAGTGATTCTCCTAAACTTAAATTCCGTTTAGGAAGTTGTTGTGAGGCAGTGGCGCTTGTTACTTGGGCGGCGGTACTAACAGGTTGTGGAGTGTTGCTGTTGTTGTTGCTGCCAACTGACGTTGCTGTTGCTGCCGGCGCCGCTGCCGCTGCTGATGTATTCGTTACATCTTGTAGCCAACGGACTTGTGTAGCCGGTCCATAGCCTTTTTCATTTCGTGCAGCTATCCGGAAGATTACAGCCGGTTTTGAGCTCATATCTAAATGAGCAGTGGCCAATGTTGCAGAAGTCACTGTAGCTGAAGGCAACTGACCACAATACACTCGTACAAATGCCATACCAGATGGTGTTGAACCAAACTAAAAGCAGAATTAAGAGTCAATTATAAAGTATATTTTTCGTTATTTTGCATCACATACAGTTATGAATTAAGGCATAAGACATTCTAACAGAACCTGAAGTTGACAACTAGTCAAATCGGTTAACCTGCATCTTATAAAGAGGAATAGGGATTTAATTTTGTGAAATCCAAACATAAACAATAATTATATAGGATCAAGACGTATTATCCAATCCACATGCTACAACAGATTCATCATCCCCCTCTCTCCTAACTTTCATACTTTTCATATCTTCTCATTTCTTTGGTAATCTGGGGGCAACCTTCTTAGCTTTGTACATCGTGCGAACATTCCACGATCCAATGCTTATTTTCGCCTTCACAGAAAGAAAACACATCGGTTGACAGGCTTCTTAAAGTCTATCACCAGCCAGCGCCATTCCTCGTCTCTCCGATCCCAGCGAAGGAAAAGCTTTTTTCTTGTGCTTTGAAGTCTCTACAGAGACTGCATTGATTCTTCGGGGGTTACGTTGCTAACCTCACACCCAACCTTCTCTCTTTACCAGGGCTTAGGATCGAATAAGAGAACTAGTCAACCAGTAAACTAGGCGGGGAGACGATTGTCTTGTGTTGCATGCCAGGCACTCGAGTGAAACCCGAATGGGAAACGACTAGTTAGTTGGGCGTCCGAGTGTGACACGGAGACGATAGTGCGAGGAGGACGTGAAAGTTTATGGACAATCGTAAGGCCAGTCAGAGAGGACTGCAGAGAACAGAACAAAGTGGAGACGTGCTGTTGAAGCCCTATGCGGCATTCAGAATTCAAGAGAATAGTAATATAATCAACAATAAAGACGTATCATCAACCTATAAAGTCATCCACTGATGCTCTGATCTATGTTTATTTATTTTTACTTAAAACACAAAACCTGGTACAATATAGCACGAAGAAGGTGTGACTCGCATATCAAACCACCGAAGCCGGTGTTTCGAGATGATGACAACACTCAGCGAATGGTGATTCTCGTACTGTGTCCAAGCACACACTGCCGGATCTCAGAATTACTCACACGATGTTACCATTGAACACAAGCATTCCTTCGGAGACAGAGAGGATCGAATACGCAGAGCCACTATACATCCTCAGATTCGAGAGGCCAGGTTTCACACGGTTTCACCCAACCCTTAACAGACAGGATAACAACGCGACGGAGCCACAAGTGGCTCAAGTTGACGTATGTCACTCTAGCTTTCATGATACGGTTAAAAATTTCGTCCATCACAACTCCGCCGGCCCTCATACACAAATACCCAGATAAACGAACTTATCAACGAATTGAAGCGGTTCAATTGCAGGAGTGAATGCAGGTGTAGGCTGTTGTCAATCTTGTGACAGTAATTTGGAATGAGATAGCGCAAAGCACATACACCACTTACAGATACTGATCGCCAATTGATCCGGAAGTCGGTGGATAGAAAATGACTTCATTAAGCGCTTTGCTGGTTAAATTTGCCTAAACTAATAACCCCCAAGTAAGAAAGGATGCTGAAGACTCCGTATACATGAACTAATACATTAGATTAATACTAAAAACTGGAGTCAACAGTATCATCATTCGTACAGATACTACTATGGTTATGATTGAACATTTCGGAACGAGTAAATCTTTCAAATATACATGATCACAAATAAATTCCTTTTCATGCAAAAAAATTAACACTCACCTTATTTTCTGTAGTAATATTATCTTGCCCAGTAGCTTGTGCTTTAACAGCTAAATACACAGAATATTCGGTAATTTTACCCGTTGTATTCTGTGGTGCTTCCCAGGTTAAATGTGCACCACTATCAGACTTGGTTATTTTTATAGCACTTGGTGCACCTGGATAACCTGGTAGGCATGTTTTGAATGCACTGATCTCTGACCATGGACCACGACCACAAGCATTCAGTCCTGCAACACGAAATTTATAGGCTGTACCAGGAGCAAGTTGAAATTTAGGACCTTGTGTAGTTAGACCATTGGGTCCAATCCCATGAGGACCTTGTAGGGCACTGATTGCCTGTTGAAAATCATTTTTTAAAAGGCATCAAAAGGAATGAGAAATTGAGTAAGTGTAATAGGAATCGTCTTAAAACAGTTATCATCATACGATTCATCTGGTTATCGGATGACCCTGACTTACTGTAAAAATTTCAATCATCATTTTTCTTACCTTGGTCCTGCTCCAATCGTCAACCAATCAGAATATTAATTTTCTTTAAGTCTGGTTGAACCGCCTACCAATCAGAACAATCTATTTTACACTGCCTTGGGCAGCTTTTAATGTGATTAAAAGACAAAAATATGACATGCTTTTTCCTAATAATAGTCATGAGCCAGCATCGGTGGTTAGGACTCTCGCCGACCATGCAAATGGTTCGAGGTTCGAGCCCAAGCCGACGCAAACCTGATATCTATGGTAGGCCTGCAAAATTTGGGCTACCGATATCCACGCTGAAAATTCCATACTTGTACCAAAAATACAGTGTGGAATCAAGCTGCAATCAAAAATAAATAAATCGTTGTCCCTTGATATTCACGTGGCTCAGTGAAGCTTGAGATACAAAGGACGAATAGGTAAGCATATCTGGCATATCAATCGAGTTGTTCATCGCACTCATACTATTACTATACCAACACGCATAAGTGTACTCGGTTATATCAACCATCTACGAAATTATATCACAATCGGTGATAGGTCCATTACAATAAGGAATCGTAAAGAATAATCTAGCTAACAATCACTAATTTTAAATAACAAGCAATATAAAAAAAAGTTCAAGTGCATATACTGAAAACCACAAGGAAATTCGGATTCCTCTCCACACTACACAGTTAAATCGCATACGAACTGTTGACTACTGTGAAGACATGCAAATAACATATACACAAATATCAAGTGTTGGTTTGCAGGGACTTCATTGATTACATGATTTCATCATCAGCTGATATCGATTAGAGAACCAGCTGTATCGTCGGCCTAGTTCGGGAGACTCTTCAGCACTACGCAACTACCGGGGTTCGAACCCAGGACTTTCTGGTTACAAGGCGAGCTCATAAACCATTAATCCACTGGGATCCGACTCAATGACCAGGCCACGAATTCCAACTTCTGCCAATCGGCAATGTAGCACAACCACAAGGCAATGCTTTGCGTGGTGAGTATTACTCTTCACACCCGACACTTACTGTACTTAAACTGAGTGTTTACACTTTTAGCAGTTTTTATGTACCACTAGAGCTATGAGTGACACTTGATGTGTTAGAAGCTAATACAGGCGGAATTAAGAGGAGCATGACTATAAACCACGACCTACAGGTTGGAAGTCAAATCCTCAAGTATATGAAACACTAATCTCTACATAGGAATTAATGAGATTTGAAAAATAAGTCCCAGTGAATCGACATTTAGAAAATCATCGAACGCCATGGAGCAGTGGACAGTCAAATTCTCATTTTTATTTGGAACTCGACACTAGCGTGCATCCACCACAGTACTCCTCCCTAACTGATATCGATAGGTGATGAAATCTATACACATACATAAATTCAATGCAAAATTATACCTAAAAATCTATACACTCACTTCCATGTGCACACCAGCATCATTTGTACACGCAGAATACATTGTTACAGTACAACTGGTCGATTTAATAACACCAACATCATGCCATGAACTATCACCTCGACTTATCACTGCATTTGGTGTTGCAGAATTTATCAAAGAACCACTGGTTGATGTAGTTGTTATGATAGGATGAGAATTAGTTAATAAGCCCGTCGTCGTCAATACACGAGTTGGTGTTTGCACCCCACCACCGCCTAGTGAAGCACACAAAAGTGAATGAAGAATAGAGAAACAGAGATCAACCATCTACAACAAAATTGTTACACAACAACCAATTGGCGATGAGTAAAATTAACTGTTTGAGGGCTAGTAAATAGGACTCGCACTAGCAACTCACTTGGTTGGAAGTCAGTTGGCTAAGATAAACACTTCTCGTGTGAGTGCTGATAATAATAGCTAGTTGTCTGTGCTGAATTAAGTGAGGCGGGACTCAAACCCGTGACTCATTGAGTGAAAACTGAGTGGCTTAAACAGATATGCCAAGTCTCTAGGTAGTAAATCGAGACTAGACCAATGAGACATAGCTCCATATACATATAAATCAGTATTTTTCATGAAATGGAAAGACATGAAGGATTACTATTATATTAAAAGTTTCAGAGGTAAAGGTCGGTAAAAAGAAATGTGAAAACATGCAAAACGTAAGTAAAAGAATCTGGTATGCACAACTAACAAGCAAACGAACAAACAAATACACCCAAATGTCATTAGCGTTGAAAACAAAATCAGTCTCAGGAAGACAGGCAACACAATCTACTTCGATTTCAAGAAGCTAAGCAATAAGTGTGTCGGTGGTTCAGCGGTAGAATACTCTCACCAGTCAATCACGCCTCTCACAGGATCCGATCCGGGGGTTCGATACCCGGCTGGCACACTCCTGAAACTTGACTAAATCGTTAGGTACACCAGGTTAAGAAAGGGAAGGTTTGGGGTGAGCCTAGCGACCCAACTACGTAAAAAAAGAATAATACTACCGCTACTGAAACCTCAAAACTGACGACGCCTGAAGCCCACTTGTTCTATCCGGAAATCAAATTAATTCAAAAAATGGGCAGTAAGTGATACTGTGTATATATGTACAGGTGATGAGGTCTAGTTACAGTATTCGCATATGCCAATATATGTGTAAAACTTGAGCACTGTGGTAGTAAGTAATTCCATATTAGTTTGTTTATTAGATGTATCACACAGTGATGAAACAGTATTATTTACTGGATGACACAGTTTCGAACAAAATTTATTGTTCACAATCATATCAATTTTGATCACACGACTTTGAAACGAATTTCAATTCACTCGCTCTACTTTAGGAGATGAGAAACATTTATAGCTTTGACTGACTGTGTTCACACTCAGGGCTTGCTTTCCTAAAATCGACACGCGCGCAGAAAACGGTTACTCGAACCGATTTATGAACAAAAATACGAAAGATAAGCAGTTCAAACGAATCATTGACTCAATTCCAAAGAAAAATCATATTCGTGAATTTGGAATTCAAAGGTGATCAGGCTTCAAGTATGCTCAAAAACCGTCTCTCTAAATCAGGTAGTTAAACGTTTTTTGCTGCAGAATTACAAATGACGTTCACCAGACACAAGCTGTTCTTCGCCTCTGTAAAAGATAAGCTCCATAGTCTGACTACCCCCACCATGTGCATCTATCAGTTCACCACCAGCTTTTGGGGAGCAAGATACATTGGCCGTAGCCACAGAACACTTCGTCCACGGACAAAAGAACATATTCCAGCAAAGTTTTACAAGGAAGAAAGGAAGGCTGTGCGAAGCTCTGTTCTAGAACACCTGATCGACTCCTGTCACTCTACCAACCCTGAACATGATTTTAAGATCATCTTTTCTAGTTTGGTGTGAGTATCATACATGAGAATGATATAAAACTGTTTAACCGTATATGTGGCTTTTTATATACATCTCTGATGATATCAAAACTAGAAAAACTGCACCAAGATAACCATACCTTTTCTTAAAATTGACTCATACTGTAGGAACTGCTCAAAGAACAGTTACATATATGATTGCTGGTGTGGTTAATTTAAAATGCGAAGAAAGACTAAGTAGTTCTAATCTCTTCTCCCTACTATATCGTAGGCAGATAGGAGATCTCATCACGATGTTTAAACTTCTACGAAGTGTCTATGGACCTAATCTGTCTTCTCTTTCCTTTCACAGTAGGTAGGAACATCTCAGATAATATAGCAGGAGATTTCAAAAGCCATGGAGGAACCATATCGTTGTGAAGCACTGAATCTCCCTCCCACTGTGCCTTCAATAGACTCATTTAAGAAGGGACAAGACAAGCACAGAAACTTATTATGAAAAGATTACCATAGATTTGTTTGACGTCCTGGTGATACGTACTATAGGACTGATCCCTAGAAGTACGATCTCCAGGCTGGGGTCCTCGGGACGGTAAAAATCAATGGTTGGAAACAATTGGTGACATGGCTCAAAATCGTTCTCAATGGTGCAGATGCATCCACTCCTTGTGACTTATGATCTCCAATGAAACTATATTGTTCTTCGTTATTACTCCTGCTTTGTCTCGCACCTCTGTTTACTGTCTCTATTATGCATTTCTTCTACTTTCTTCTCTTGCTTTGTGTGCTACGTGGAGTGTGGCGACTTGAACTTCCGCACATTTGTGCAAAGTTCTATGTCGAAAACAGACAGACAGAGACCATAGATTTAAAGCCTCATATCCTCAACAACAACAACAAAAAACTGAGCGGACAGACTAGTACCTAAACTTTGATCAATTATTTCCTAAAACTTAGAAATGCTGACTGATATGAATAGTGTACACTGAAAAGAAATGTCAGTGGTGTAAATCACTCTAGCAACTTCATTTTATTTATTTCCCTATTCTCTTCTTATCAGTTGATTTGTAACCACAGTTACTACGACAATACCACTCTACCTACCTCTTATCAAGCCCATTTAAAGTATACATTGATTAGTTACTACGAAGGAAAAAATATCAGCCCTGGAAATGGACGGCACCCGAGCATTAGACTTACACCATACCGTTGCTGCTGCAAGACACTTTCAAGCAGGTTGAGGGCGAACTGACTTCATACAGGAGTGGAGTAGTAGTAGAAACGGGGTAGGCAGATCGCTATGTCAAGCAGAAAGTCTCAAGTGCAAGTCTGGGTGAAGCAACCATAAGTATGCATCTTTGTGGTGGTGATGGTTGTAGCAGTAAGTACTTCAATGAGGACCTTGAAGGTAAAAATGAATAATGGTTCCCCATGGGGACAGCAGTTGACCATGGGGTTACGTGATCCAGGTGATTCGGCAAATTGGAACACAGCTGTGATCCCCTGAGAGTAAGGTGAAATCCTGTTGTTTCGCTTGTAAATTACAAGATATGAGCAGCAGGGGCATCACCAGCCTTGGAGTTGCTGCGGACTACACTTAGTCAGGTTTACGATGCGATAGTCACCAATAAACCAGGCACATGACAATGATTATTCGCCCTAGTGACGAATGAGTGTACCTTTAGAACAGGAGGTCAAACGCAAGCCCAACTACCTCAGTGGTGACGTTTGTAACTACAGCACTGGGTAACGCGAGCCCGATACAATAAGGGAACTGTTGTTCCCTCACTGTTGCGGATACGTCTTGTTGATGAGCACCTATCAGCATGAAATCCAGATCCAGGGATTTCTGCCAACTGCAACTAATCGTTTAACACCATTTAAAGCATCTTAAGCAGATAACTCTAGACCAAAAACGACTCAAAACAAAACTAACTAATGAACAGACATGGTAATCTTGAGCAATCAATGATGTGAGTTCGTGGTAAACAGGCGGAATTATGGATGCTTTACACGAATAACACAGCAGATTTCATCCAAATCTAGTATTTAAGTACTATTTGGATATTGGGGGTTCATAGCAAGGAATAAGACGTTTTAGGTAGATGTGGAGGAGTAATGCATTCACAGAGACACACAGCCTCTATTGATGGGCTTGTGTATAAATGCCCAGCCTGTCGTTCGATAGGGATCACATAGCAATTCCATCGAAAGTTTATGGAGTCACTTAAAGAAGAGGGTCAGAGCAGTGTAACTGGGTCAAGAAACTTAATGATTTATAGTTATCTGCACGAATATATGTAAAGAAATCGGTCTGACCTATCCTATGAGGACCCTAACGAGAAATTGGTTTTCCTGTAACTACTTCTTAACACTACGTTACTTTTATATAAACGTTTTTTTTAATTACGCGTTTTTATTTAGGACTCATGTGACTGGTTGACAGGTTTCTCTTCATGGCCTCTACTAAAAAGTTTCGTTCAGGGTCGTTTTAGTTTATGGTTGCTCTTAAATAATGTGAAATTATCAACCGTAATAAACTCTTATACCTTTGACATTTACTGATTTAAGTGATAATTACCTTCAGAAGGTTAAACAAACTGTCACATGGTGTGATATGAGTAACAGTGCAATGACTACCCTCCAACTTCCAAAAGACAGTAAATCATAATAATCACTCAATGAGAAGACTTGGTTTTTAAACGGGTAGCAAGTACGCAGCTCTCGCTGTTAAAGCTGTTTAAAACTTCTTCAAGTCGTAACCACATAGCTATATCAAATGAGACATGAATGTGTAGCAGAGGTTATATGTGTACACTGTTTCTATGCTAATTCTGTTCTCTCCAAAGTGTAAGAAATTATTAACTAGTTGCCGGCATAACAGAAACACATCCTCCCCTGCCATTCATAAACTTAAAAATAACATACTACAGAATAAAAACTCACCACGATCGTCATCACCACCACCACTACTACCACTACGATGAGCTGCGACTAAAGCCAAAGTTTCTAAAGGATCAGTAAGAGAAGTATTACTCCCCTCCTTTTTATCTATACACACAAGAAAGGGAAAAACCGGTAGTAGTACGTACACATTACGTAGAAATTACTTGTTTTTTGCCAGTTTATAATATCAGAATGTTAACTCAAAAACACGGAGGATGGAGACAGATACTAGTGAATTTACGCGTGATGTGACGGTCGGGCTTAATTTTATTTCAATGACTCACAACTAGCTGCTGTAATGGTTGGAAATATTCCTAACAGGAGTAAAGTCATCTAGAAGTTTGGTTAGATCAGGATTATGGTTGAGTGAGGTGGTGACATTATCTGGTTACATTCACAACACGACGCTGAGTAGCACCCATCAGATTTCATCGACGCATTTAGTATTGCGCACACTAGATTCAATCAAGAGGATCTTGAAAACGCTTAAAGTAGAAACTCAGAGGCATAGATTGATCCCCAAAACGGCAATTTAAATGAGTTAGTACTCAGGTGCTGTGCCAACATACTGGTAATGCACTTTCGTACACTTACAAATGACGGTTTGCCGTGATTTGATGGATATCAAGTTAGGTCACGAGCCTCCATCAGTCAAAGAACCACTGAAAACAGAGTACTAAAGAGCTGTCGCATCCTAGTTCGGCACTCTTCATCGATACACACACATGACCCATTGGGGATCGAATTCAGAGACCTTTGGTATTCGTCCCAGTAGCTGAGTGGTCAGTCGGTTCGACTCGTAACCTGAAGGTCCTGGGTTCAACCCCCGATGGAGTTTGTTACATGTTAAAAGTCACGCTGTCTATATACATTCAGCATTCGTTCATTTGTTTTAGATATAATCTGCTGAACACCTAATGCATTAATTATCATGAAGCTATTCTGGCTGGTTATTCAAGGCTATTTGGCAAGTTGTTTTCCCCATATTTGCCGATTAGCCAGTCTATTATTAATGGAGATAAGATCTGGTACAACTGTAGACCTCATTGCCCAGTGAATAACATTGGTGTGTCATTGGTTCAGTGTTATGAGCCCTTGCCAACCACTCACATGGTCACGGTTGAGTTTCCAGACGACGCACTGCTAAACCCTGATTCGCCAGTAGGACACCCGGTCACACCAAAACTTGGAATCAGTATATGACAGTTAGTTTTAAGAGACGTAGAGAGGTGTCAACTTCCTGGCTTCTTGGGGTCGTCGGGAATCTAGGAACCAAAGGGTGGAGACAATTGATGATATGGCTCGAAATAGTCCTCAATGCAGCAGACGCATTAACTCTTTGTGATCTGCTTATTATAGTTCTTTGCAATCTCTTTTTTCTTCCTTTGTATGTTACATGAAGTGTGGCAACTCGACCTGCTGCAGTTCTGTGTGAAGTTGTATGGTGAAACCAATCAGTCAATCATCCGAGTAAAAAGAGTAGGTTGAGCGTGAAGGCTAACAACCCCACCCCGTAAAAAGAAAGCACCACCGATATTGAAAAAATTCAAAGCCAAAGTTTGACTCCCTATACTCAACTCGGAATGCAAGGGGATTGGGAAAAATTAACTGTGTATGAGTCAGACCTGCTATGTAATTGAGATTTAGCTATTGTGTTCATCACACCAATTTCTAACAAACAAAATGACACATCTCTGATTGTGTTACGAAATTACCCTAGTAAAAAAAAACTACACAGTCATTCAGTATTAATTACCGATGACGTTGCGATCCCATTTTAGTGCAAGGTTTGAAAGTCGTGTGAGGGCTTCGACAGGATTATGAGTAATAAACTGTGCTTGAGACGCCACCAGTACATGACACTGATTAGCAATGGAGACCAGGATGCGCATTTCGTCCTTTCTGGGATTAGTAACCTCGATGTGCCTGCGTTCCCCACTGTGGCTCGAACCCAGTACCCATCGATTCAAACACCAAGGGTGTTGTCCACTAAACCACTTGGGCCACCTTTTATGATGCAACGGGTATTAGTAATTATTCAATTCAATTTGGACTTTCCCATTGATTGATTGCACCGAAGTGCTTGGTCTTAGGTTGATTCGTTGCCTCCTTATGCAGATGCTTAGATGATGTCTGATGATTTAACCCGAAGTAATTTTGGTGGATGGCGACTAGCAGTGGTGGAATTCAGGATGCGCACTTTGTCCTATAGGAACACCACTCGCTCACTGGGAATGCAGGTGGTGCATACACTAACTGATGAGACAAGCCCCAAATAGGAGGAAATGCACACCCTGGATTCCATTTACTACCAATCACCATCCACTAATTTACTTCAAGTTAAATAATTAAACATCGTTGAAGCATGTTAATCTGAGACTGAGCAATTCGGTTCAATCAATCAACGGGAAAGTCCAAATTGAATTAAATAACTGTATCACTGTTTCTATCAAACAAATAAATAAATAAAATGAACAAAAATAAAATTCCATTCTTACATCATCATCTATACCTTTGGATACATTTCAACAACAGTTTAAATGCGTAAAAAACACCTTGTGTGAGAAAACACTACAAAAAGAGTTAGCATTGCTTTTCTGTTAAATGGAAGACACACTAACAGATAGACAGACAGACAGACATAAAGACAAACACACAGACAGGTTAAAGATCTGACTGACTGACAGGAAAAAATACACCTTAACATTTGTGAATTATGGTTAGGCAACCACTATACTGGCATGATAGGATATGTAGCATAAACACACTCAAGTTAATAAATTACTCAACTCCAGACTGTAACTTTTCAACGATGGAAAAACAAACTGAGCTGTGGACAGAAAAATCACACAAAAGAGCATAGCTCATTATCCAACTAACCTTTAGTAAGCACACCACCATCTCCAAACAATGCAGAATCACCGCCTCCCGTTGCTTTTTCACCATCCAATTTAGTAGGAGACTTTATAGGCGTTGTAATTGATTTATTACAATCTGAATGTTGAACTGCTTGTTCAGATTCTTTTGAAACACCATTCTCTTCACCAATGTCCGCAAGAAGTTCAGCAGCAGCCTCTGCTGCTAGCGATGTATGTGAGTTGGAATTGGGATCCTTTTTATTGGAAGCAGAAAAACAAATTGGAAGATTTCAGCGACAACCTACATCTTGCAACAACACACATTTTAAATCAATAGTTAGTGACCTCACCAACTGGTGTTATGTTTGGTCTAGCCTAATTTTGTTGTGGTTTTTCCAAACTCTAATCCTACTTTCATTCAGTGAAATAGTGCATCCTGAAGGCGATGTATGTCTGCCTGTTTTCGACATAGAACTTTGCACATATGTGCGGGAATTCAAGTCGCCACACTCCACGTAGCACACAAAGCAAGAGAAGAAAGTAGAAGAAATGCATAATAGAGACAGTAAACAGAGGTGCGACACAAAGGAATAGTAGTAACGAAGAACAATATAGTTTCATTGGAGATCATAAGTCACAAGGAGTGGATGCATCTGCGCTAGCCACTGAGAACGATGAGTTTGAGACATGTCACCAATTGTTTCCAACCATTGATTTTCACAGTCCTGAAGACCCCAACGAGTCAGGAAGTCTACACCTTCCTTCGTGGCTTAGACTAACTGTTTGTAGATTTCATTGACTGGTGCCATGTTTTGGTTTGACCTCCACTAGCTCTTTTCCAGCCTGACCCTGTATCCGCTAACGTTGCTCGTCGAGGAAGGCGACGACTAGGCATACGTAACACGTCCTAACCATCTCAGTCTCTGTAACTTCACAACTTCGTAGATTGATTTCCCCTGTTTGCCTAGAACTCTACGCTTAACCTCAATGTTGCTCACCTTATTATGCCACTGAACACGGGAGATAGAACGCAGGCACCTATGATCAAAAACAGCTACTTCCACTCTCAGTGGCCAGGTCTCACAGCCATAAAGGAGGACGGAGCGGACTGATGAGCAGTACACCCGCCCTTTGGTCGATAGTCGAACAAAGACCTCTAAGATGACACATCTTTAGCTTACACAACTTTCAAATTCACTTAATAACATTACTGATTAACCAACAGTTCAATCATAAAAGATAAGAGAGAAAATACACATTTGTAAATTTTTCCAGGGGCATAAGACAAACTTACAACTGCATTGTTCGTGGAATGTTCACCAGCATTCTGTAAACTATTTACATCTTCCTTCGCCTCAACCTTTCCTTCAACTGAATCTGACTCCACGGTAGTATTACCAGCTGATGCAGCATCACCATCATGGTCATCATCATTATTAACATTGTTCGCCTTACCGACCACACCACCACCACCACGTTGACTATCATCAGTTGTACCATCTACTTGAGGAATAGTCTGAAGAATGGTTGGCGCAGTATTAGTTGCATCGTTTGAACCACTACCAGTAACACTACTAGCATGTGTTGTTGCGTCATACTGATCACGTCGGACTAAGGTGACTTGTGTTGGATTCGCCTGTCGAATGATTTGATGACCTGTAGTACCTCCAGAAGAAAAGTATAAATTAGACAAGGCAAACACACCAACTGATGAGGAACCTGAAGGTGAAATAGAGAGATGCTAATTGTGACCTATGATATACAACACACAAACACCTCTACGTTCCCAGTGGAATAAATATAGGGCGTCAAGCCAGAGCTTTGCAGTTTTGGTAGCAGTGGTGTTTATTTTTATGGGATGAGGTTGATAGCCACATACCCGACCTTCCCTCTTTACCGGCTTAGCGAGGTTTAAGGGTGCGTCAGCCGGAGATCACAAACCCCGGAACACATGCGTGGTTGGGGAACATTCTACCACTGAACCACCGACGGCCGTCATCTCCAAGTATAAACACATAATTAACTCATGACATCAATAGACCCTGAGAACAAAAAAGGCACAAAACTACAACAAGCTGAATTAAGTTTGCAAACAGTAGAAATGGATTACTACATTGAAATAATAGCAAACATTTATAGATGATTATATGTGTCCAAACCAAGTTCACTTTTAACGGTTTGAAAAAATTTGGGCATTGGGTATATGATATTCATTATAATAGGGGTTTTCGTATTTCCCAATGAATGAAAAACAAAACGATATTGTTTTTACTGATGTTTCGCTATTTCATGCTAATAGCTATCTCAAAGTATTATTAAACCGGAATTTACATAATCTCAGCATAAATATAACAGAGTTAGGGGGTGAGAAAAATATAGACTTAGTTCAACTTAAAAGGACATATTGAAAGTCAAAATAACAATGAAGATCGTTCTCACCCCCTAACTCCTTGTTATATATATGCTGAGATTTTGTAAATTCCGGTTTAATAATACTTTGAGAAAGCTATTAGCATTAAATAGCGAAACGTCAGTAAAAACAATATCGTTTTGTTTTTCATTCATTGGGAAATACAAAAACCTCTATTATAATGAATTTATAGATGATTTTGATTTAGTTAGGTTCTTTTAATTTGGTTGATTTAATTGTGAAGTTTTCGTAGTTTCTCCTCTAGACATCTCTTCAGGGCATACCCTTCGAATAAGAACATTCAAAAGCATACATTAGCTGTCATATCCAAGCAATGTAAACAATCACGGGCACCAATTGGATGGTTGGGAGAACATGGAAATTCTAAACAGAGGATTTCTAAAAACCTGGTACTCAGACAAATATCAGAGATTAACAGACATACATCATATTACTATAGACCAAAATTACCAACTAATAAAAAATAAATCACATATGACAAGAAATCTCAAGTCAATAAAAATGATCAAGGTAAATATAAGAACCAATCACAACACTGGTTGTCAGGAGGTACACTTATATCATTCATGGAGAATTCAAACAAGTTCACCTTATATATATACACAGAGTCGGAAAAGCAAGACAAGCTATCATTACTCTTAAGTCTGTGTGGAGGTCAACAGCACTCTGCATCAATAATAACATCTGGATTTTCAACTCAAATGTCAGTCAGTGCTACTCACTACACGGATCAGACTTGACCAGCGCGTCTTAAAGAGCATCTCAAACAAACTTCAGACCTTCATTAACAGTTGTCTTCGCTCAATAGCACTCAAGATCAGATGGCCGGTCAGAAAAGAACAGCAACAGGGATCTCTAGCAATTAGCGAACCAACCAGGAACCGATTGTGCAACAAATAGGCATGAAGAAATGGAGATGGATTGGCTGACCATACGCTGAGGAAATCATCAAGTGACATCACTAGTCAAGTGCAAGGGTGACTTGGAGGAGGTCATGTGAAGAGGAGATGAAAGCATGTGGGCAGACTTGCAGCGGAGTGAAAAAGTTGGCAGAAAACAGAAGGCAATGGAGATGCACAGCCGAAGCCCTGTGCTCCTCTGTCTGTCTGTCTGTCTGGATTCAACATAGAACTTGGCACCGAAGTGCAGCAGTTCGAGTTGCCACCTTCCAAATAGCACACAGAGGTAGACAAGAAGATGAGTGAAGAGAATTAATAGAGTTTGACAAATATAAGAGTGAAACAGAATGGGTAATGGTAGAAAGGAATATGAAAGATTACAGAGATTGAATACATCTGCGCCATTGACAACGAATTAAGGATATAATAAATAATAATAATGGTAGTAATAATAATATACACTAAAGCCAACGACAACGAAATCACAACTAAATCAGAATTACTACAATACTAACACATGATGAACAAATGGAATCAGAACTCTCTCAAGGTCAGAAGATAACATTCCTTACAAACCATCGAGCTACTCCACACACGCACACACACATCAGTGATAAACAGAAATGCAAGTTTTGTTACTTATTTCTTAAGTAGGAAATTAGACATAATAGACAGATAACCAGTAGACGACTGATTAGGTGGAGAAACAGACGACGACAGTGAAAAGCATATTCATCAACGAACTCGAAGCATAGTATCAAAGTTTCAGAACTGTCCACTGGATATATGCAAAGATTGACTGACAAATGAAAGGCAGTACTGTGGTGAATAACATTTCACATTGACACATTTCAAAAAACTGGAATGAAATGACATACTTTGATATTAAACACACATTTTGGAGGGAAGCGACAGAATTCAATGAAGACTACTGAAGGCACCTGCAATTCACATGATAAAAAAATGAACAAATCTACACCGGTGTGAAGGGTTCTGAGTCTCTAAACAATTTAATTTCTAGCATCAGCTGGCGGCTACAACCAGCAAGGCTACACACACTTCATCACATGACATAGCTGAGACGAGAAATCAAAGATTATGGATGTGATTTACTAGTCCCACCGCTTCCGCAGTTAATGTGACTCTTAGATTACCACTATAGATACTTGGGAACCTGAACAACTGAATAAACTACCAAAATACTAAACTAGAACGAGACAATTGTCCAGTACTCTCTGGTGGTTCTCCATGGTTCTGTTACTAATCAATCCGTGATCAAACTTGAAACTTATCAAATTCTTACACATAAACTCATGAAAATAAATATAAGTAAGTAAGAAAATGAACCACAAAACTTACTACCTGGACTCATGATAACTATTTGTTGTCCGCCGGCTGGTCTGTGAACTGCACCAGACACTTGAACAGTAGTTGTCTGACCTGGACGAGCAACACCACCACCAGCGATTAGAATAGGCTTCCCGGCTGGAGACATTTGAAGCATTGTTGCTGGAATAGCCTTGATCACTTTTGGAACTGAAATTCAAATGTAGTTTTTCAAAAGTGAAGATATTTTTTTAGAGAATATCAAGGGAATCAAAAGCAACTAAGATAGAACACTCATAGATTATACGATAAGGTGGCTTTCTAGAACGAAATCATGAAATATTATTGACACAAAAAATAGCCACATTTTCGATTCATCCACAACTGTTTGAAGATATTAGTAATGCGTAAAATAAGCAGGAATCTTACACTTACTTTACTTTACTTCGGTTATCTCCTACGGGAGGATGAGCCGGCTTCATGAACGTCTTGAATCATCGCTGCCCAGGCGCGGCAATTTGTAAGAGAGTTCATGAAGTTTCATGGGAATTTGGTACGAGTGATGTCCCCAGCATCGCTCGGCCCTTTGTTTGAGAGTGCAGCTCTAGCCTTTACACAGCCAAGTGTGACCTACAAGGCAGTAGGAGTGGAGTAGAAAGTCCACTATCCATTGGCAGCCGGTGACCGGAGTTCGGTTCATACGCCTTTTTGAATGGGGCCAGACATCCAGGACATCCAACAAGCCCTTTGTCCATACGTCTGCCGGTGAGCTTCATACGCCAGTCGTTGGAGGTTTGGAATCAGGGTTTAGCCATTTCCCCTAGACTGTTATCCAATGAACAGTCAACCCGGTGGGGAGCGCCGGGCATCCGCTTTCACCCTCTCACTTTGGTGAGAAACACCTCCGCCACGTGAAGGCAGTGAGTAGGACTTCCTCAGGAATCTTACATAACAGCGTCTAAGACTTTAAAAACCATTAACACAGGGGATGTACGAATTTCGGCAGCCAACTGGTCTGGAGAATGGGCTTGCAGCATAGTGAGATGACTCTGAGAGCTAAACTGGTTTGGACGACTGTTTTTGTATGTCCTGTCATGTTGGAGAGGTCGTTTAGATAAAGGTTAGACTTCACAGTATATGCTGTTTAAACCATGTTAAGGTTCTGACAGAGAGAGAGGAGTCGCATAGTCGGGGAGAATAGAGATGCAACTGCGGTAAAGCGTTTCCCTGAGACAATCAGCTATACCTCTCCACTCGGAGGGGTTTGGAAAAGGTCAACTCCGAAAACTGTATAACCTGCAGTGGAGGTGAAGCTTTTATACGGGCATCACTTAATAGCACAACAAAAAGGTGGAGTTACCAGAGTCAAGAAGTGGTTGTTCCATGAACGCCACAATCACACAACACTAATTTTCTTTCTGCTTTAGGTATTCTAGTTCGAAAAACACTGCTAGTTATTAGCTTATTCATACCGAGAATAACTCCTCTCAATAAAAATAATATAAAGCTTGCACTAATGCGACCGATTCTATACTTTACTTTACTTTACTTCGGTTATCTCCTACGGGAGGATGAGCCGGCTTCATGAACGTCTTGAATCATCGCTGCCCAGGCGCGGCAATTTGTAAGAGAGTTCATGAAGTTTCATGGGAATTTGGTACGAGTGATGTCCCCAGAATCGCTCGGCCCTTTGTTTGAGAGTGCAGCTCTAGCCTTTACACAGCCAAGTGTGACCTACAAGGCAGTAGGAGTGGAGTAGAAAGTCCACTATCCATTGGCAGCCGGTGACCGGAGTTCGGTTCATACGCCTTTTTGAATGGGGCCAGACATCCAGGACATCCAACAAGCCCTTTGTCCATACGTCTGCCAGTGAGCTTCGTACGCCAGTCGTTGGAGGTTTGGAATCAGGGTTTAGCCATCTCCCCTAGACCGTCATCCAATGGACAGTCAACCCGGTGGAGAGCGCCGGGCATCCGCTCTATACCATATTGTCAAGCCAAGAATTACCAGCCAATCACCTTGTAACAAATAACTTCAAATTCCTAATCGTGGTTATATAATGCCATCCATTCAAGAAGACCAACTACTAAAATGAGGCTGGACAATTCCGTCGTTTACATATTTCAACAGGAAATCACAGACAGCAATAAATAACTAGAAATCGTATAAAATGCTTAAGAGGTGCCCCTCCCCTTGTGACCCAGTGGATAACAATCCGGTGTTTGAAGCAATAGCTAGTGGATCTCAGTGGGAATACCATCAGTAACTGGAAATATGTCAACAGGATACCACAAATATGAATGAGCAACCTTAGAAAGGTGTACACATGCATAAATCAAACTGCATTCAAACGTTTGCAAGCCTCTATATATCTGGTACTCATACAAAATATAGTTCTTGAAAAACAAACTGCCAAATTGAAAAACTGAAAACTGATTTAAATCATAAGAGCTAGGATGCTGATAAAAAAATCTGGATTGTTACTTACCGGGTGTAGTAGCCGTTCCAGCTGATGCCTGTTGAACAGTAATCGTTTTAGGGACACTTTGTGACGATGTTGTTGTCGTTGTTGAGACCAGTTTAATTGGTTTAATCAATCCTGTTGATTTGTTCACAATATGCACCACCTGATTTTGATTCGAAGTAACTACACCAGAGTTATTTGCAACAATTGGAACATTATTTGAACCGACAGAAACTGCTGAGACTACTTGTTTGCCAGCAACAGTGATAAGCTACAAGATGAAGAAAATCAAAATACTCAGATTAGTGATGAGAGAAGAATGTGAACACTGCACACCAACGGAAGCAATTGTGTTATTTGCACATATCAGGCAGGGCATGATAAAAACAGAAACACAGACACACACGTAACACACTAAAGAAAAATAGTGTTTGTGGCAAAAATGAGAAAGAGGGAAAATTGCTATTGTTTAATAAAACCATGTGTGATTTATTCTCAACCTATACATTGCTGCATACATATATCTTTCTTTTCGTTATCGCATAGACCACAGTATTATTCAGTAAGGCTACCGTTTCATTGAGTGATATAAGCAATAAAAAACCATTAAGGAACCATATAATAGTAGCACAAGTTTGACACCCGCTTGGCAACCGACTGACTGCTTTCAACATAGTCTGTCTGCCTGTTTTTGACATAGAACTTTGCACATATGTGCGGGAATTCAAGTCGCCACACTCCACGTAGCACACAAAGCAAGAGAAGAAAGTAGAAGAAATGCATAATAGAGACAGTAAACAGAGGTGCGAGACAAAGCAGGAGTAATAACGAAGAACAATATAGTTTCATTGGAGATCATAAGTCACAAGGAGTGGATGCATCTGCACCATTGAGAACGATTTTGAGCCATGTCACCAATTTTTTCCAACCATTTGTTTTTACCGTCCCGAGGACCCCAGCCTGGAAGTCTACACCTTCCTACGTGACTGGCTTAGACTAACTGTTGTGGATTTCATTGACTGGTGCCAAGTTTTTGTTTGACCGCCGCTAGCTCTTTTCCAGCCTGACCCTGTATCCGCTAACATTGCTCGTCGAGGAAGGCGATGACTAGGCATACGTAACACATGTCCTAACCATCTCAGTCAACATAGGGTTTCGCACAGATGTGCACCAGTTCCAGTTGCCACACTCCCTCCGTGTACCACACAAACCAAGAGAAGAGAGTAAAGAGAAATTCAACCAAAGACAGATAATAAACGGAAGTGTGAGCGAGCGAGGGAGTGAGTGAGTGAGGGAAAAAGAATAGTAATATGGTGGAAGAGCACTTGAGTTTTACTGGATATGACAAATCACAACAAAGAATGAATGCATCTGCACCAACCATTAATAACGACGATTTTGGGCCATATCACCAATTGTCTACAACCTTCATTGGTTCTTACCATCCCGATGACGCCGACCAGTCAAGCAGTCTACACCTCCCTACATGTCTGGCTGACAGACAGACAGGCTGGCTTAAACTGTTATGGATTTCTTCATTGAATGATGAAGCCATGTTGGTTTTGGTTTAACTAGCACTAGCAGTTCTGCTCCAACCTGATCCATAGTATGTCAGCTAATATTGCTCATTGAGGAAGGCGATGGCTAGGTGTTCGCAACACATGTTCTAACCATCTCGATCGATGCAGATGCTTCACCTCATCGACTGAATTTTCCTCCTTACCTAGAACTCAACTGATGTCTAACCTCAATAACACCCCCCCCATGATACCACCTAACATGTGAGAGAGAATATAAACACCTATGATCAAGGGTAACTGGTCTCTTCATGTCTTCTACCTTTAGTGATCATTTCTTACCCACAGCCATAAAGGAGGATGGAGCGAACTGCTGATTAGTGCACACGTCCGTTAGTCGACAGCCAGAGATAGCGTAATTTGACAAATGTCAAACGAGCCTTTTGTATCTGTGCTGAGATTTCATCAGCGATCAACCCATTGGTGTTGGTTGATGCAACTTCTCATATAAGTAAGCTGTCAAAACACTACCACTTCCCCCTCCATCTTCAAGCTAGGAGTCTATGTAGTCCAGTTATGTTACCATCATCTTACATTTGACAGTAGTTTGGTAACAAACTGGAAATTGTTCCGAACACATCTTAACAGATTACAGTCATGATTAGTGTTTACAGAATTCAAAAGCACTTAAGCGTTTAAAGTGTAATTAACTACAGGAATATCTAATAAGACCAAAGCGAGGTCAAGTATCTACGTTGGATTATGCTATGCAGTTAAGAGAATTCAATTACAATTCGATTACGAACACTACAAAACGATGTTCGAATAAACAAAAATTGTGTGAGAAGGGAAAATGTCAGTTAAGGTTGGTCAGCAGCGAGTAACCTCAGGGCTATTCTGACATATACTCAGTCACCTTATAAGCAATCTCCAATTATTACTATCAACCATTCTCAGGATACTCTGCATGGATGGAACCTTACACTCCTCTACACAACCCAGATCAATAGCCAGTGCTTTGATACATCAATAGTCCGTTTTCTTTTGACTATCCCCAGCTAACTTTACTAATATGACTGAAAACAAATAAATATCAAGCGCCACACAATAATTAAGAGAAAAACTAGTGTGTGAAATTTCCAATGTGAAAAGATTTTTTATACATCTATAAATAGAATACTTACATGCTGCTTGGGTGCAATAGGAGGACATGTACTTCGAATGATTGTAGTACCACCACCATAAGGATTGATTCCACCAGAGTGTTGTGCTACAGTTGCAATAGATGCTGCTCGTCCTGTAACTGCACTACCTGGCACAGGAGTGATTTTCAAACCCGTCGGTGTAACCACAGTAGGACCTCTTTGACCGGCCATAGTGACGCATGAATTCGGTAGCACAGAACCCACAGCAGTGACAGTAGGCAATCTGATGGGAGTTGGTATTGGGACTGAATTAACAGTAGCTGGAATAGTGGCCAGAGCCTGTTAAATGAATGTAAATGAAACGTTAATATAGTCTCCTAAAGTTTTCATTATAGTCAAGAAACAATAAATTCGAAAAATGAAAAGATTCTACTTACTTGTGTAATAGTGCTAGTTCTTGACAAGTTCAGAGAACTAGAACATACAGTTATTGGAGCCTTGCTTATCGGGCTTGTGTCAGCTGGTGGAGATGTCAAAGATTGAGTTGAAGCTGTAGAAGGAGAAACGTCATATTTCTGAATCTGTAAGATATAAGCATCTGCTGTAGGAACTGAACCCCATGTGACTTCCAGACTTTGTGTACCAGCACGGACTAATTGCACACGTGTCGGAGCAGCTGGACGATCAGTTTCCAAAAACCATAGGTCTTTAAAGCACACCTAAGAAACAAGTCCAAGATGATTAAAATGAATTTGAAATCATTTTCACACAATAGCAAAGAGGTATAAAAACAAAAAAGACAAAACTTACTTGATTATTCCACGCCTTTCTATAACCATCACGACCTGACCATATGTACAACCGGCTATGAACTGCTACAGCACAGTGGCCAGCACGTGCACGAGGCAAAAGGCATTCATCAGCAACTTCCATTGTCAACGGTTCCCAAGTCATTGTATCAAGGTTAAGGCTGGCCAAAGTATTTGTACACTTCCATTCCTTTTCTTGAGCTGCCATTTTCATATCTTCCATGACCAAAGGAACCCAACCACCGAATACAAACATACTAGGAACAATTAAATTACAAAAACAATAAAACACATCAACAGGAAATCTATCACAACTGATTTACATGAATTAAGATGTGTGTACACCATCGATGAACTAAAGTCCAGTCAGTCATGGAATGATAAACACCAAATAAAAAACAAATAATACGGTTTATAACAGCTACCTGAGTATCACAAATAAGGAAGGTTATTTCAAAACCACACGACGTACAAATTATTATCACTGTATACACAAACGAGTTTAAATTGAGCCATTAGCATTTGCTGTGGGAGCTATGGATGCTCCAAAGCCTCAGGATGGTCGGGGGTGGGTGCTTTGCTCTGCGGGTTGGCCACCCCTCCGCACACCTCTTGAAATGCTCCCATATGACCGGGCGTCTTACACAGCCTCTCCTGAGGAAGTCCTACTCACTGCCTTCACGTGGCGGAGGTGTTTTTCACCGAAGTGAGAGGGCGAAAGCGGATGCCTGGCGCTCTCCACCGGGTTGACTGTCCATTGGATGACAGTCTAGGGGAGATGGCTAAACCCTGATTCCAAACCTCCAACGATTGGCGTATGAAGCTCACTGGAGCTCACCGGCAGACGTATGGACAAAGGGCTTGTTGGATGTCTTGGATGTCTGGCCCCATTCAAAAAGGCGTATGAACCGAACTCCGGTCATCGGCTGCCAATGGATAGTGGACTCCTTACTCCACTCCTACTGCCTTGTAGGTCACACTTGGTTGTGTAAAGGCTAGAGCTGCACTCTCAAACAAAAGGCCGAGCGATTCTGGGGACATCACTCGTACCAAATTCCCATGAAACTTCATGAACTCTCTTACAAATTGCCGCGCCTGGGCAGCGATGATTCGAGACGTTCATGAAGCCGGCTCATCCTCCCGTAGGAGATAGCCGAAGTAAAGTAAGTAAGTATGGATGCTCTAGCGTTTTTCCTTAGAGCTTTCTCGCACAGCAATAGTCTATATATAATAGTCTATATCAGACTTTTCTGGAGCCGTCGCGACGTTAACCTACTTTTCAAATGTCAGGTTTACAATGCTTCGGTGCATGCAGTCTTGCTCTGTGCCTGTGACACCCGGCCTCTGCGAGCTCACGATGACTATGAGTATTCGACCATCACTCTATGTAGAATCGCTTGAGTTCGATGACATCATCGTGTGAGTAATTCTGAGGTCCGGCAGTGTGTGTTTGGACATAGTACGGAAATCACCATTCACTGAGTGTTGTCATTATCTCAAAACACCGGCTCCAGTAGCTTGCATATGTGCCGTGAATGTCATCCGAGAAGCTTCCATGTCGGTCTCTGTTCGCTAGCCAGCCCTGGGACGGGATGGAAAAAGTGGAAAGGTGGTCAGCCCATGACGTGGCATCGTGGGATGAAGGGTATTTGTGTTAGGTTAGCATTAGTTGGTGAGCCACAACAACCTGATCGGGGTCCGAGAGATAACTCTAATCGGTGGCTCGAGACGTTATCGAATATGGCCAACAATCGCAATCACCAATGGCGAACGTACTGTAATCTCCTTCTCTCTTATCTTTCTGACAATAACTGACGAATATCGTTTGGTCTCTTTAAGTATAGCTGCTTCCTCTTTGGACAAAGTTCTAATCAATTCTTTGCCTATTTTTATGTTGATTTTTATCACTGTAGCGCACATTGGCGCTCAAACTGTACTACCACATATCACACTGTCAGTTTTACACAAGAATTTCGGAAATAACACTAACGCTAGAATATTGCATTTAAGTAAGTATATTCAAAGCATTGTAGTCAAGGGAAAATACGGATCGATCAATTATACTTCAGGCTCATGAGTGGCTTCATGTAAGACTGTAATGGATACATTGGCTAGTCACTAAAGAGTCGTAAGTCTAGTTTGCAGTACTACTGACTAGAACCTATCAATCAAGCTTACCAGGAGAAATATTTCGCAGATGTCAACCGTAGCCAAGGCATCTGTTCTAAAATTACGATGTACCACTTATCATTTCATCTTAGACATAACACTTATGAACACTGTGGGATAAACGACAGTTAAATAATTAACTAGAAAGTGACTTGAGCTTTATGAAGGATATGTGAAAACGAGATACTTCGGATAAATTGTCTAATATATGCTGATTAGTACTAAAAATCGTTATAAAATTTTACGCACTCACCGATTTCCAATTACTGTCGCACTGTGGAGACTGCGAGGAGCTGGAGGATCTCCACCGATAACAGGTTTAATCCATGTCATTGTATCAACTTCCAACTGCCAAAGATCCCCTAACCGATTACCAGACATACCACCATATACTAGAAGACGCCACTTTTTCACCATACCATCAAGGACCTGATAAGCTACCGCGCTATGTGACTCTCTAGGTGTGGGTGGTTGACCATATGTATTCGGAATATCCCAGCTCATAGTACTTGCATTGGGCTTTAGCTCCAAAGTGTACAAATCATTCAAATACCTAAGTGTAAAAGTAAATGTTTGATGAAGTAATCTAGAAAATCTGTATAGAAACAATTAATTTGGCTAAAACTGAAATGATGAGCCTACATTCAGACAGATTTAAATCCACTATAATCAGCTTTATACCACTATCTACTTTTTAACTTCAGTTACGTTAGTGATGACTACAGTCACGAGTGACAACTGTGAATACAACCATTCAACAAAACCCAAGTACATAACTTAAAGAATGAAAGTTTAAAAATGTGGTAGACAGAACATATGCACTGCCATTAACTATCGTATCGAAACATGTACGGATCATGTTCAACTACCGTCTGTCAAGACGCAGGTTAAGAGGGGTAACCATGAATTGTGAAAAAGCTGTAGTCTCATAATTTTCTAGTTGTTTGTTCAGATGCTCAAGGATTGCTTGGGGCTCAGTGACATGTCCCAGCCGCGACAACTGCACAGTCATATTTAATACACCATCAGAAAGATCCTAAGTCTTCACTAGGTACGGATTTCACCGTTATTTCTATTACTCATTGATTGTGACATATTTCAAATTCACTTTCTTGCAGTTTCTATTAACGTTCGAATTGATCTAGACTAAAAATTAAGTAATGTGTGAGCTCTTGGCCACTGAATTCAATTTTTAGAACATATCCAGTGTACAAGGATTCATGATAACCTAGAATTGAAATAATGTCTGTAAAGGTTACATATTGCGCTAAACTTCGACGCTTAAATGGATTTTTCCTCTTCAAACATTAACCATAATACTCATATATACAGTCCCACTCCTCACCGTGTAGGAATTGAACTGATTCGAAATCATAACTGTGACTGAGCATAGAACTTCTATCAGTGTACCGGTTCGCATTTATGAACCACGACTAACTTATCACCTTAAGAAAACACCTACAATGAAAGAAGGCTGTACATAATATCTTAGCCAAGTTGGTCCCCGAGTTCCCTAAAAATCGATATCAGCATAACTATTCCGAATTTTCATATACCGGCTAATATTTTGATCTGTCCAACAATGCTCCAAGTTCATCTTAAAATGCCTTGGAGTTAAGCTATCAGGTACTGTGCGTCGGTGGCACAGGGGTTAGGGTGCCCACCGACCATACAAATGGTCCGGGGTTCGATCCCCGGCCGACGCACACTTGATATCAATGGTCGGTCTGCTACATTTGGGCCTCTGATATCACATACTGAAAATCCCATACCTGCACCAAAATACTGCAGGGATTAAGCTATAGTAAATATAAATAAAAATATAAGTACAAAAATACTGCCGTTTTGTCTTGCTTTTAAATTGGAGGCATTGTAATTACAGCAAATACTGAAGAGGCAACTCTTGAAGTGTTCGAAATCGACTGGAAACTATCCGGAGAATGATACTTATCCCTATCTTATTTGGAATAAAGCCATCATTATAGATGAACTAAAATAGATTAGCATGCATGAATTCTAAATGATAGGCCCCGAAGGTGAAGAATAAGTTTTTACACTTATGGGGATTTTCCCTAAATTACCAATCCTAAACACAAACGCAAACCACTATTAGTGTATAGTGAGTTTTACTTGGTGCTCAGCTACGGATCTAACTTGAATAAAGTGACCCTCAAAACGTGAAAATATGAAGACCACTACTCATAGTACGAAATTAGGGAAGCAAGGAGGAAATATGAAACAGTTACCTTGGAATGTTATTCTTTGGGTCATCACTGTCATTTGTAATCCCTCCGAACAAAAATGCACGCTGGCCTACGAGTGTAAAGCTGTGGCCTGCCGAATTCGATCTGAAGAAATACAAACATACCTATTCTTGGACAGGGGCAAGGGCCGTGTTTAGCAGGTTTGGGCTTTAATCGTTTCCACTCCCAACGAGAAGCCTGAAGTTCATATAAGTCCCCAGAATATTTCCCATATTCCAACATGCCACCAAACAATAGAACACGCGTATTTTCCACTAGCATACCAAAAGCAGCACATCCTTGTGGGATATCACCATGAACAGCAGGTAGGAACCACTGACAAGTTGCTGAGGAAAGAAGTAAACAAAGAAAAAATAATACTTACTCGTGTTAAACACGTGCAGCTCATCCACTATTCCCTCATTCCCGCCACCGAAAACTACTATTAAATCCTTAATAGCAACTGCCTTGTGTCCATGTCTAGATCTAGGGACATTCCCAGTGGCAGCTGACACTTTTCTCCACCTTACAATTGGACCTACACCAGCCATCTTGGAAAACGTACCATCCGCGGACGCATGTCAAATGTTCCAATAGATCTGAATTCGCGAATTATGGTATCCCATCGCCAAATTAAAATATGATATCTTGAATACTTTTTAAACCAGGAATTAGTAAACTCCTAAGGTAGCTAGATCTTCTGTGAACGTTTCGACAAAATTTTCAAAAAAGTGAACTGTAGTCAAGATTTATTATTTTTTTTTATTACAGCTTGATTCCACACCGTATTAAGATTTGACAGAATAGTTCTAAAATATTTTGGCGCCGAGGGAGAAGTAAACATTTGTAAAAAATTATATTTGCAAAATCTTAGCGATATTAAAATGAGTAATTCCAACGTTTCGTTCGGAAATCTGATCAAAACTTTTTCAGGGAAATTGATCGAAATTAACATAACAGAGGTTTATATATAAAGGGAACATCTCTTGTTTTTAAAAACTTTGTCCAATCATGAGTCATAAAAAAGGTATTAACAAATATAGTAAACAAAATTGTACAAGTTGTGATCAAAATTTCACCTCAGACTTACATATATTGATCTACCTTTGTTAACACTTTAATGAATTAATGAACATTAGATAGTCTGTCAACTTTATATTTTCGTGTTGTTCATGCGACATCCCCAAATACTCATTAATTGCTGTACTCTCTTTAGCTAAGCTTCCCTTTATCTATAGCGGTTGATCTTAAAACAGCTTACCGTTGCTGTCGCAACAACAACTAGTTGCCAATTTCTGGATAAATAGTCCGAAATATGGACGTTTCTATCATATCAAGCTATGTTTCTCTCGGTCTCACTATGTTGTGCTTACACAAAACTTCTTCAAGGGATCCGAAAACGAACTGTCCTAACTTAAGAAATCAACTACAAAGTTTGTCACCAGTGTACCTACCACAAATTCGAATTCAAAACTAAGTGATTTGATAGGATGACGGATATTTAACAGATGGTTATTTGCTTGGTGGTTGTGGCATACTATTACCGTGATATCCACCTCACTGAAAAGTAAAACGCATTATCGCTTTTGCTTTGTGCATTCCAATCAAGGAAAAGAGACTTGTGGTGAGCATTTCATTGGCTCTCAAACAGTTCTGCGGACACCAATGATTAGTGTTCTTCCTTCATAGTGTAAGCCAAAGCAAGAAATGTTAAGACTTAAGAAACTCGAAATGTGACGCTAATGTAAGAATTCATCTTCTTCATAGCACCTTCACTGACCACTGACAACATCAGTGAACTTCCAATAAGCAAGAATTTTCTAATACATTTGACGAAGCCTCATTAAATCTGAAATAAGCATGAAATGTTACTCAGAACTACTGGTGTGGTGAGAGCAGGCTGCTAGCCGATTGGTTGGCACTAATCTACGTTAAGGTCTAGGTCACTAATATGGGCCGTGAGAAAATATGAACAAGCCTGAGTCAACAACCAATCACAGCAAAGTTAACGTGGCAAAATATGATTCGCAGAGAGAACTCTATTTGTCAAGGAATCCCGAAACAACCAATCAGAAGCCTGCGTTTGTCTACCTAAACAACCAATCAGATGACTGCGCTTGTCTATAATAATGTAGTTGAAAGATGTATAAATACGTGTTGATTTTCATAATAAAACGATCTGTTGCCTGGCCCTTGTCTTCTGTTGTTACATTTGGTGTCGCTGCCTACCGACAAATGAAAAGCCTATACCCTGCAGTTGTTGATGGAGACATATGGATCTTCGGGCAGGACTTCAAGGCTTCTGCGCAGTTGAGTGGCGTTCAAGATCTGTCAGCGATGGAGCTGCTACTTGAGACGCTGCTGGGAGGTCGGGCGAAAGCAGCATATGAAGGTGTGGGCCGAAGTATGGACGAATGTTCGACAGGGTCAGGCAAACAGTTTCCAAAGTGGGAAGGACCATATATGGTCACTTCGAGATGGGGTTACGCAGACACAGTCGCAATGGCGAACAATGAGAGGCGCGTGAACGTCAGCGAGCTCCAGAAATGGATACAGCGAGACAAGCCAACGATGACGCCTGCACCAAGTAGATCAAGCCGACTTCAGTCGCACGTATTTGACGGGGGACGAGTGTGGTGAGAGCAGGCTGCTAGCCGATTGGTTGGCACTAATCTACGTTAAGGTCTAGGTCACTAATATGGGCCGTGAGAAAATATGAACAAGCCTGAGTCAACAACCAATCACAGCAAAGTTAACGTGGCAAAATATGATTCGCAGAGAGAACTCTATTTGTCAAGGAATCCCGAAACAACCAATCAGAAGCCTGCGTTTGTCTACCTAAAAAACCAATCAGATGACTGCGCTTGTCTATAATAATGTAGTTGAAAGATGTATAAATACGTGTTGATTTTCATAATAAAACGATCTGTTGCCTGGCCCTTGTCTTCTGTTGTTACACTGGGATACATTTATGGAACTAAAGGTAGTGCATGGATTTATTTTACTGCTTATGATGGTCTACGGAAGCCATTTACCAATGTATTTTGTAGATAGCTGCCAAATAAATTAAAAGTATAAGACAACTCTACCACTGAATTGTCTGTTTTGGCTGCTTCATAAATCACCCACTTAATATAGTGCATTGAGATGTTAACTAGTGAGCGCCTCCCGGCATGTTTATGCAGAAGATAACTATTTTCATACCATCCCACTTAGTCCCCGTGGATATACGAACAGAACCTACCGTCTTGAGTTACAATATAATTCCATCATGAAGTAAATTCATCTGATACAACCACACAGTGCCACAGTATCATATATTAATGTTTCGGGCACAGTCTACTAAAGTCATTGTTAATAATAATAATATATATTCTCATTTTTTACATGAGGGACGCCGGTTTACAGGCATCATCAATTCGATAAGTTACACATAAGATTAATAAGCATATCTAGTAAAGATAATATAATAAGGTACATTTTTTTCCTAGCTATGTAGGATACACCAATTGTATAGGCATATAAAAATATTGTTTTAATAACAAAAATATATTTGTCCATGTTTATGCAGGAACATACCTATAGTACAAACATGGATAAGTTATCATACAAATTACACACAATTTCGTGTATAAAGGGTTTACAGTTTGGTTGTTCTTTCCGGCATTAGAGTCAGTAAGAACAGTCTCCTAAAAAGCCTGTTTGTGTAGCACATAAAGCAATAGAGAAATATTTTTCCATTAATGTAGTTGAAGATTGAACGATCAACTCATGGTTGTATGCACAATCCCAACGTCACCATAATTTCGCGGGGGCATCAATACACCAGGCATCGTCTCATCGGTCACTCTTCAGAAAGAAGTCAGGAGAAAACCGTCAGAAGTAATATCGTGATTTATTCTTGTAATATTTGTTCATAGACCTTAGTTGTGAAGCTTATTTTTAAAGTCGGCTATATGTTGCTGTTACAATAAACAATTCTTGAGTCGCCAATCGGTGTTTTGGTTTTTGCGTCCGTTATTACTAAGCGTTTCTGAGAAACTTCAAGGAACAGCGTGAGTCCCAGCGTAGTAAGAGCTGGGCATTAACGGTGCACGAGACGTGGCTGACAGTTTCTGACGGTATGGCGTCAATTTTATACGGTTTGGGACAGTTGGTGACAGCTTGGATAGTCACCGTTCATCTTTCCTGGTGCCGGCCAAGTCCTCTTTGAACAAGGAATATCTGGAACTTTTTTGGAATTGGGTCAAGTTCAACAATGCCTGGGTCAAAGAAGGGACAGAACGTCTTGGATGCAAACAGGAAAGTAAGTCATGGTGACTTGTCTGTTACTTGTAACGATGTGTCTGATGTTAAGCATGACATGGTTGATGTTACTGTTTCGCCATTCAGGTATAATAGGAACATCAATCTCCCTGAACTTGAACCACGGTGTTTCGATGGAAACCCGGCTGGTTATTTACAATTTGTAAAAGAGTTTGAGATCATGCTGAGTAGTTTTCTATTAAGTGATGAATTGAAATTGATGTATTTGATGAGTTATTGCACTGGAGATGCTTCAAGAGCTATACAGTGCTGTAAGCTCATGCCCCTAGTGAGGGATACGCTGAGGCTATGAGCATACTACGTCAAAGGTTTGGAAGATCTTCGATGATTGTAGGGAAATTATTCGAGGCTGTTAAGGGAAATGGTGGTCAATTACAGGATGACTCCCAGGCACTCACTGAGTTTTTGGATAATTTGCTGATTTACAAGAATTCATTGATTTCGATGAATTGCATGAGTGACCTCAACTCGAGTTTTATACTAGAAGTAATAGCAAGACGCCTACCTACTCGACTGCAAAGGAAGTGCGTGAAGATAACCTCCCGTATGGAGGATGAGGGTATCGAGCCAAAGTTCGATGATATTGTAGCGGCAAATAATTCCGCAAAATTATTGACCACAGCAATCACTCATTGGATGCTGACCACCACTGTTTAAGTCGACTTGTTTAGCTGAAGGCTTCCGGTCAAGCATCCCCGCCATTTGGTACCCCGTCGTGTAACGTGCACGATCACTAGCTAGCTAAGCGTTCGTCTGTCGGCTGGTTTTGGTTCCTAAATACATTTCTTCGTTTGGACGATCAATTATTGGCTTTTGCTTTGTCTTTGGTACGCGAGAATAAATTAATTAGAAGTTGTTGAACGAGATATCACGTCAAACCTTTAATATCCACCAACTTTTAAACTGGTGAGCCCAACCGCGAACTTCATCCACGAAAAATCCGCAGATAACCCCGGTGAGTTCGTTCCATTTTGTATTTGTTCTTGTACCATATATTATTCGACATAATTTTCGTCATGAGTGATCTTAGTCCCAAGGTCATCCGTATCCGCTCAACTCCTAAAACCATTCAGCTCGTACCATACTGGCCAGATAATGCTGAAACGTGGTTTCTGCTAGCTGAAGCAGATTTTTGTGAGCATGGGATAACTGATCAACGTTCACAGTTACTTGCAGTTATTCACGCCCTACCGCGGGAATTCAGCAAGTACGTAACATCACAGATGTTGAGTCCCGAGGTAAGTAACTCGTACGAGTTGCTGAAAGCATCC